CACCGGTGACATCCCCCGTGCCACCCCCACCCCGGGAAGGTTTTGCCCCCGCCTTGCCAGGCCCGTGCCCCCCCCGGCACGCCAGGGGGGTGGCGCAGCTCGCAGCCTTTGTGTCGCTGTCCCCACGCTGTCGTTAGGGTCCCCTCCCCCGCGTGGCGCTGGGCCAGGGGACATCCCCTGACCGGGGTCCCCGCGGCGGGGGGGGGGGGGGGGGGTGGCAGGGCCTGGTGGCAGCTGTGCCACCGAGCGGGGCTTCTGCCCGTGACCCACTTCGTGCCCCCCCCGGGACACCGCTCGGTCCCGGGCACCGCCGCGCCGCAGCTCCGGTGACCTTAGCCCGGGAGCCAAGGTGAGCGGCAGGGCTGGCGACAAAAGGGGACAAGCGGGGGGACCCGGGGGGTGGCACACGGCCCCCCAACCCCGCCGAGCCCTCGGGGCCACCTCGGCGTCGGGAGGGGCTGCGGGGTGAGGGTGGCGGTCACCCCAAAGCCCAGCCAGCCTGGGGGTGCTGGGGATCCCCCCCCTTTTCCATCACGTTGGGCACGGAAACCCCCCCGGCCCTGGGTCTGTGTCCCCGGGGTGGGCATCGCACGCGGGTGGCAGTGTCGCGGGTGGCACCGCTGCGGGCGGGACATAAATAATGCAGGGTGGGTGAGCTCAGTGGGCCGGCGTCACCCGGCTGCCCTGGCAGGGTGGCACTGCCACCACCGGGCACCCCGGGAGCCATTGGCCTGGCACCCTGAAACACGGGCACCCTGAGAGTCTGGCACCCCAACATCCAGCTGCACCCCTGCACCCCACCACCGTGGTACCCCGATAGCCCAGTACCCCAAAACCTGGCTGCACCTGTACCCCTACACCCTGGTACCCCAGTACCTCAGCTCCCCAGCACCCCTGCATCCTGGCACCCCAACACCCTGGCACCCCAACACCCACACACCCCAGTACCCCACCAGCCTGGCACACCTCAGCACCCTGGCATCCAATACCCTGATACCCCAGCACCCTGCTACCCCAACATTCCCAAGCCCGGGCACCCCAACACCCCAGCCCCCAACGCCCTGGCCCCCCAGCACCCCTAAACCCTAACCCGGGGCACCCTGGCACCCCATCACCCCCAGACCCTGGCACCCCGGCACCCCAGGGCAGGACCCGGCCTGCCGGACCAGTGCCACAGCGGGGGTGGCAGCCTGGCACTGTCCCCAAGTGCCACCCTCGGCTCGGGTGGGTGGGGACAGCGCAGCCTTTCAGAGCACATCAGGGCGCGGGGTTTGGGGGGTCTCAGCCGAGGTTCCCGGGAGGTGCCCGGGTTTTGGGGTGCCTTCCCCGCCATCAGCAGCTCTGGCATTTCCTGTTTTCCCGGGCGGTTTCCGGCACCCCGAGCCCTTCCCAGCCCTGGGGCACCGCCACATCCCCGGCTGAGGAGGGGACACTGAGGCACGAGGGGACTGTGAGGCAGGGAGGCGACAAACGGGGTCCCCACGACACCGGGGACCCCATCCCTCCCCTCCTCCCTGCCGGCCCCGGGTGGATTTTTTGGGATCCCCCCGTCCCCACCCTCGCCGGGAGGCGCTTTGGGGACACCGGGCAAGGGGACAACGCGTCCCGGCGGCGCGGCCACCCCAGGGCGGTGTCCCCTCTGTGCCACCCGCGCTCCGGGGGTGCTTTGGGGACTGTCCCCATCCCAGCCCGGCGCGGTGGCGCGGGGCCCGCCGGGTTTCCATGGAGACCGGCTGCTTTTCCCAATCCCCGTTTTTCCTGCGCTTTTCCGTGCCCGGGCTCCGGGAGGAGGTGAGAGCCTTTGGGGACGCTCCGAGGGGACACCCCGCGACATTCGGCACGGCCGGAGGTGTGCAGGACGCGCCGGCGGCTCCTCCCCGCAGCTGTCGGGGCCGGTTTTGGGAGCTGCCGCAGGAGAAATCCGATGCCGGGGCGGTGGCACGGCCGTGACCCGTGCCACGGCCGGGCTGGGGACAGCCGGGGGCGCGGCCCGGGGCTCCGGGGCCGATCGGGATCCGCTGCCCGGGGATGTTGATCCCTTGCCGGCGTCCCCCCCGCAGATAAACTCTTCGGGAAGCGGCTGCTCCAGGCCGGGCGCTACATCATGTCCCACAAGGCCTGGATGAAAACGGTGCCCACGGAGAACTGCGACGTGCTCATGACATTCCCGGGTAGGGATGGGCCGGGAAACTGGGATCGGGGTGGGGTGGGCTCGGGAAAACCGGGATCGGGATGGGGTAGGACCGGGAAAACCGGGATAGGGGTGGGATGTGGCCCGGAAAACCGGGATCAGGATGGGGTGAGACCGGGAAAACCGAGATTGGGATGTGACTGGGAAAACTGTGATAGTGGTGGGGTGGGACCGGGAAAACCGGGATTGGGATGGGGCCGGGAAAATCTAGGATAGCTGGGGAAGGAGGGGGTGGTGATGGTGGGGAGAGCCAGGGAGGTGGCAGTGGGGATGGGGGATGTGGCACTGGGGATGAGGGATTGGGGTGGGATAGGGGATGTAGGGAGGGATTGAGGTTGTGGGATTGGGGTGGGATGGGAAGGTGGGAAGGGATGGGGAATGTGTGGATGGATGGGGACCGGGACAGGGACACCTGGCAGGATGGGGACAGGGATAGGGACACATAGTGGGATGGGAACCATAGGGATGGGTGAGGACCAGGATGAGGGACACGTGGCAGGATCAGGACTGGGATGAGGGACACCAGAGGGCTGGACACTGGGACAGGGACACGTGGCAGGATGGGGACAGGGATGAGGGACATGGGGATGGATGGGGACAGGGATGAGGGACAGAGGGAGGGCTGGGGACTGGAACAGGGACACGTGGCAGGATCAGGACAAGAGTGAGGGACACGGGGATGGATGGGGACAGGGATGAGGGGCACGCAGCAGGATGGGCCCCGGGCTGGTGACACGGCAGGACACGCGCTGCTGTCCCCGCAGACAGCACGGATGACCACACGCTGCTGTGGCTGCTGAACCACATCCGCCTGGGCATCCCCGAGCTGATCGTGCAGGTGCGGCACCACCGGCACACTCGCGTCTACGCCTTCTTCGTCACCGCCACCTACGAGAGGTGCGTGCCCATCCCCTCTGTGTCCCCACCATGTCCCCAGCGTGTCCCCAGCATGTCCCCAACGCTGTCCCCACGCTGTGGCCGCAGTTTGCTGCGCGGGGCGGACGAGATGGGGCTGCGGAAGCCGGTGAAGGCGGAGTTTGGGGGCGGCATGCGCAGCTTCTCCTGCGACGAGGATTACATCTACAAGAACATTGAGAACGAGCTCGGTTTCTTCAGCTCCCAGGTGGGGACCAGCACGGGGGGTACGGGGTACGGGGTGTGGGATACAGGGTGTGGGGTGTGGAGTGTGGGAGGTACTGGATGTGGGATATGGGATATGAGATTATGGGGATATTGTGCGTGGGATACCAAGATGTGGGGTACAGGGATGTGGGGTACAGGAATCCAGGGATATGGGGGTGTTGGGATATGGGGATCTGGGATATGGGGATCTGGGGAGGCTGGGTGAGGATCCAGCCACCCCCGGCGATGGGGACAGGGCCAGGGCCAGGGCCAGGGAGGGGGCAGGGCCCGGGACAATGGCAGCGTGTCCCTGCAGGAGCGGCAGAGCATCATCCGCTACTGGCTGGAGAACCTGCGGGCCAAGCAGGGCGAGTCCCTGCACAACATCCACTTCCTGGAGGGACAGCCCATCAGTGAGTGTGGCACCCGGTGACACTGCCACGGCACGCGGTGACACTGCCGAAGCGCGGGGTGACACTGCCATGGCACGCGATGGCACCTGGTGGCACTGCCCCTGTGGCACGGGGCTCCCACGTGCCACTGTCCCCATTGTCCCTGTGCCAGCCCTGCCACCCCAGGGCCACACGGGGTGGCAGTGGGGACCCCAGGCTGTGTTCCCATTGTCCCTGACCCTGTCCCCACTGTCCCCATCCCTGGGGCCATGTGCTGCGCGGGGTTTGTAGGATCATGGTGGGCACAGAGCTGTCCCCGCTGTCCCCACTGTCCCCATTGTCCCCCCCCTACTCCCACCCATCCAGGGCCACACGGGGTGGCAGCAGGGACCCCGGGCCATGTCCCTGTTGTCCCTGACGCCGTGTCCCCGGTGGCAGTCCCGGAGCTGGTGGCACGGGGGGTGATCCAGCAGCTGTTCCCGCTGCACGAGCAGAGGATCCTCAAGCGCCTGATGAAGTCCTGGGTGCAGGCGGTGTGCGAGGCGCAGCCCCTCGGTGAGCCCCGGGGCTTGTGGGGATTTGGGGTCACCCCAGAAGGGTTTTGGGGGTCCCACAGGGTTTGGGGTGACCCCAGAAAGGTTTTTGGTGTCCCAGCCCCTCGATGAGGCTTTGGAGTATTTTTGGGGTCCCAGAGGGTTTGGGATCCCAAAAGGGTTTTAGAGGTCCCATTTAGGGTGATCCCCGTGGGATTTTTGGGCTCCCAGCCCCTCGGTGATCTTTGGGGTGACCCCAGTGGGGTTCTTGGCTCCCGGCCCCGCTGATGTCCCCTGTGCCCCGCCCAGATGACATCTGTGACTATTTTGGGGTGAAGATCGCCATGTACTTCGCCTGGCTGGGCTTCTACACCTCGGCCATGGTGTACCCGGCCGTGTTCGGCTCCATCCTCTACACCTTCACCGACAGCGACCCGGTGAGCCCTGGGGTCGCTGCAGGGTTACTCTGGGGTCTTCCCAGCCTTCCGGGGGGTTGCCATCCTCTCTTGGGGTTCCCATCCTCCTGTGAGGGTTTCCAAACTCCTTTAAGGGTTTCCATCCCGTCTGGGGTTTTCATTCCTCTTTGGGGTTTACCAGCTTTCCTTGAGGGTTTCCATCCTTCCTTGGGGTATTCCATCCCTTTCTGTAGGGTTTTCTATCCCTTTTTGTAGGGTTTTCTGTCCCTTTTTGTGGGGTTTTCTCTCCCTCCTTGTAGGGTTTTCCTTGTGGGGTTTTCCATGCCTCCTTGCGGGGCTTCCCCCCTTCCCTGACGGTTTCCCTCTCTCTTGCTCCCACTTTTCCCTATTCCCCCACCCCATCCATTCCCTCGGGGCTGGGGAACTCCCAACCCCACAGGGCTGGGTTTGGGGGCCATGGGGACAGGGAGGGGACCAACCCCGGTGCAGTTGGTGCCATCTGTCCCCCAGACCAGCCAGGACATCTCCTGTGTGGTCTTTGCCATCTTCAACGTCATCTGGGCCACGCTGTTCCTGGAGGAGTGGAAGCGCCGCGGCGCCGAGTTCGCCTACAAGTGGGGGACGCTGGACACGCCCGCCGAGTCCCTGGAGGAGCCCCGGCCCCAGTTCCGGGTCAGACACCGCCTCGGGGTCCCGTCCCTTCTGGGGTTCCATCCCTTGGGGTCCCATTCCCTGGGAAAGGTCCCGTCCCTTCTGGGGATCCCATTCCTTGGGGGTCCCATTCCTTGGGGGTCCTATCTCTTTGGGGGATCCCATCCCCTGGGAAAGGTCCTGTCCCTTCTGGGGATCCCATTCCTTGGGGGTCCCATCCCTTTTGGGAGATCGCATTCCTTGGGGGATCCCATTCCATGAGAGGGGCTCCATCCCCTGGGAAAGATCCTGTCCCTTCTGGGGACCCCACTCCTTGGGAGATCCCATTTCATGGGGGATCCCATACATTTTGGGGTATCCCATTCCTTGGGGGTCCCATCCCTTGGGGGTCCTATCCCTTGGGAGGGGCCCCATCCCCTGGGAAAGGTCCCATCCCTTTTGGGGGATCCCATTCTTCGGGAAGGCCCCCAGATCCCATCCCGAGGGGGTTCAGCCACCAGCCCCAGGGTCCTGGGGGGCGTCCCTGGATCTGTGGGTGCCAGGGGCTGTGGGCTCCTTCGATCTGTGGGTTCCTGGATCTGTGGGGTCTCATGGGCTGTGGGGTCCCCAGATGTGTGGGGTGCCAGGATCTGTGTGTGCCACGGCCGTGGGGTGCTGTGGGGTGCCATGGGTCCCCGAGCTGTGTGTGCCACAGCTGTGGGGTGCTGTGGGGTGCCGTGGGTCCCCGAGCTGTGTGTGCCACGGCCGTGCCCGCAGGGCACCAAGCGGATCAGCCCGGTGACCAGCGCCGAGGAGTTCTACTACCCGCCCTGGAAGCGCCTCCTGTTCCAGAGCCTCGTCAGCCTCCCCGTCTGCCTGGCCTGCCTCGCCCTCGTCTTCCTCCTCATGCTCGGCTGCTTCCAGCTCCAGGTGTGGCCCCGCTCTGGGGACAGTGACAGTGGCACCGCCCTGGGGACAGTGACAGTGGCACCGTCCTGGGGACAGTGGTACTGCTCCTGGTCCTGGTGCTGCTCGAGGTCCTGATCCTGACCCTGATTGTCTCCCTGTCCCATCCCTGTCCCTGTCCCTGTCCCTGTCCCCTCCCTGTCCCTGTCCCTACAGGAGCTGGTGCTCAGCATCCAGGAGCTGCCGCGTGTCCTTCGCTTCCTGCCCAAAATCATCCTGGCTGTCATTGTCACCGCCTGTGACGAGCTCTACAAGAAAGTGGCCTTGTGGCTCAATGACATGGGTGCGCTGGGGACCCTGCGGTGACCCTGAGGTGGCCCTGGGACCCCCGAGCCCCCCTGACCCCCCCTGTGCCCTGCAGAGAATTACCGGCTGCAGAGCGCCTACGAGAAACACCTCATCATCAAAATGGTCCTGGTGAGGGGACACGGGGACACTGAGGGGACACTGGGGGACACTGGGACTTGGGTGATATGGGAGATATGGGGAGACTGGGGGACACGGGGGACATGTGGGGGCTGGGGACACAGGGACACAGGGGGACTGGAGGGGGCCAGGATCAGGGACACGGGGGACTGGGAAGGATTGGAGAGGTCCTGGCAGCTCTTGCTGAGGGGACAGAGGGTACTGGGGGGGACTGGAGGGGTCCCAGTGGCTCTTGGTGAGGGACAGAGGGGACCAGAGAGGTCCAGGAGGGACAGAGGGGACTGAAGGGGTCCTGGCAGCTGCAGAGGAGACAGATGGGGCTGGAGGTGTCACAGAAGGGACACGGAGGGCAGCGGAAGGTCTCAGGCAGTGCTGAGGGAGGGGACACCAAGGTGACCGAGGTGCCACCCCCCTGTCACCGCCAGTTCCAGTTCGTCAATTCCTACCTGAGCCTTTTCTACATCGGATTCTACCTCAAGGACATGGAGCGCCTCAAGGAGGTGAGGGGACCCTGCCGGGGGCGCCGATGTCCCCAGAGTGTCCCCAACACCCACCCCCTCCACCACCACCGCATCCCTCTGGGTGTCCCCGCGTGTGTCCCCGCCCGGCGCGGCTCACGGCGTGTCTCTGTGTCCCTGTGTGCTCGTGGTGTCGCCGTGTTGTCCCTTTTGTGTCCCTTGTGTCCCTTCCGCAGCTCCTGCTCATCCTGTCCCTGTCGCAGAGCCTCGCGCGGCAGCTCCGGGAGGCTCTGCTCCCCTCCATCCTCCTCCACCTCCACCTGTCCCTCATCTTCCTCAGGCGCCTCCTGCGCTTTTGCTGGACCCTGGGAGTATCCAAAGTAGGAACGCGGGGACACCCAGGGGACACCCAGGGGACACAGGTGTCCCCAAGCCCCCCAGGGTGGCGGTGGCGCTGCTGCAGCCCCGCCCCATCGGGGTGTCAGCGATGGGCGGGGGTGACAGCGGAGGGGACACGGGGGGGGGTGACAGGGAGGGACGGGGACCCCGGGAGGACACCACAAGGGGAGAAGGGACACTGTGGGGACATCAGGGACACCACGAGTTGAGCAGGAACACCACAAGAAGAGCAGGGACACTTAGGGGGACATCGGAGAGGAGCAGGGACAGCACGAGGACACCACAAGGGAAGCAGGGACACTGTGGGGACATCAGGAGCAGGAACACCACAAGAGGACATCAGGGACACCACAGCACGAGGACACCACAAGGGAAGCAGGGACACTGTGGGGACATCAGGAGCAGGAACACCACAAGAGGACATCAGGGACACCACAAGGGCAGCAGGAACCCCACAGGAGGAGCAGGGACCCCACGGGGCCAGGCCATGGGGACATTCCCCAGCGATGTGTGTGTGTTGGGGGGTGACACCGTGGCCACCGTGTCCCTACAGATGCTGGCCACGCTGCTGATCACGCGGCAGTTCCTGCAGAACGTGCGGGAGGTGTCGCAGCCCCACCTGTACCAGCGGCTCCGCCGCGGCGAGCTCACGGTGCGCAGCGTGCGGCAGCTGCTCCGCGCCCTGCTCCGCCTGCTCGCCCCCCGGCCGCCCCCGGCCGCCCCTCCGGAGGGCAAGAAATGCCTCAACGGGGGCTGCGGGGTGCCCGAGGAGGAGGAGGAGGAGGAGGAGGAAGAGCGGCGCGGCTCGGACTCGGAGGAGGAGAGCGCGCTGGACTGCGGGCTGAAGCTGAAGAAGGTGAGCTTCATCGAGCGCGGCGAGCGGCGCCCCGAGCCCGCCGGCCCCGAGGACGAGCCCTTCCTGGAGGAGGGCAGCCCCACCATGGTGGAGAAGGGCATGGACCCCGCGGCTGTGTTCGAGCTCTGCGAGGAGGAGGAGGAGGCCGAAGCGCAGCCCGGCAGCCCCGGCAGGGCGGCGGAGCCGGCGGTGCTGGCGAGGAGGAGGAGGAGGGAGGAGGAGGAGGGGGAGGAGGAAGGGAGGAAGCGCAACCGCGCCTCGTGGATTGACCCCCCCGAGGAGGATTACTCCACGCAGCTGACCCAGGCTGAGGTGGAGAGCTGCATGAAGAAGTACGAGGTGGGTGGCTTGTGTCCCCCTTGTCCCTGGACCTGCTGGGTTCCCCAAGGGCTTCCCGGGGTTCTCTGAGGTGTCCCCGTGGCCATCAGGATCCCCAAGGTGTCCCATGGGGTCCCTGAGGTGCCCCCGTGTCTGGTGGCCTCCCAAAGTGTCCCTTCCCGAGCTGTCCCATCCGGACCCACTCCTGGTGACCTGCCCGTGTCACCGCTGTCCCCTCAGGACACCTTCCAGGACTACCAGGAGATGTTCATCCAGTTTGGCTACGTGGTGCTCTTCTCCTCGGCCTTCCCGCTGGCGGCCGCCTGCGCGCTGCTCAACAACGTGCTGGAGATCCGCAGCGACGCCTTCAAGCTCTGCAGCGGCCTGCAGAGACCCTTCGGGCAGCGCGTGGCCATCATCGGCCACTGGCAGGTGGGACACGGGACAGAGGGGACACGGGGACAGCAGGGACACAGGGACACTGGCAGGTGGGGCACGGGGACATGGGGACAGAGGGGACACTGGGAACATGGGGACATGGAGACACTGGCAGGTGGGGCATGGGGACAGCGGAGACAGAGGGGACAGCAGGGAGAGTGGGGACAGAGGGGACAACAGGGACACTGGGGACAGTGGGGACAGCAGGAGATCGGGGCTCTTTGTCCCCACTCGGTGGCACAGAAATGACGTTCTCAGAGAAGTTGCTCACAGGCTTCTCGTCTTTGACCTGAAAAGCCATTCAGGAATTTAATCTTTAAGAACTGACAATTGTTAAACCACTAAAAAAGGTTAACGAGAAAAGCTTCGCTCCCTAAATAAGCTAAAAAAAATTTTTTAAAGAATAAAAGAACTGAAAATTTAAATTTTATTTATTTCATTATCAATTAAAAATATTAGAAATTTATTAAATATAATTATTTAATATAGTATAATTATGTATTATTAATTATTATTAATTACTATTATAAAATATTATCAATCACTATTACTTACTGTTATTATAATCATTATTAATAATAACTAGTATAACCATTATTAATAACTATTTGATAATAGTTATTAAATATTGTTAACTATTTTTAAATACTATTATTAACTATTACAATTAGATAATACTATTAAATTTTCTTTAATTCTAATCACACTTAATTACCACTAAACCTTTTTCCTTCACGCCCTTTTAAAACTTTAAACCTCCTCCACCTTCCCACCTCCCAACCCAAAAATCAACCGACACATTCCCATAACCACACTGACCATTCACCACCACGCTAATTAACAAATTAACCGAAACCCCCCTCGAATGAATGCCCCAAACGTGTGGTGCAGAAGGTGATGGAGGCCATGGGCGTGGTGGCCATCGTGGTGAACTGCTTCCTGATCGCGCAGTGCGGGCAGCTGCAGCGCCTCTTCCCGGGGCTCAGCCCCGAGGCCGCCATCATCTCCGTCGTGGTGCTCGAGGTACCGGGGCAGCAGGCTTGGGGTCCCCTGGGGGCAGCTCCGGGGCTGGGGACACCCCAGGGTCACCCTGCTGGGGTTTGGGGTCCTCCCAGGGTCACCCCGCTGGGGTTTGGGTGCTCCAGGGTCACCCTGCTGGGGTTTGGGGTCCCCCCAGAGTCACCTCTGGGTTTGGGGTACTCCAGGGTCACCCTGCTGGGGTTTGGGGTCACCCTGCTGGGATTTGGGGTCCCCCCAGAGTCACCTCTGGGTTTGGGGTACTCCAGGGTCACCCTGCTGGGGTTTGGGGTGCCCAGGTTGGGTCACGGATTGCGGGGTGGTGATGGCTGCGGGTGGGAATGGCCGGGGGAGTTCTGGGCTGGATGGGCCACGAATCCCTGGGTACTCCCAGCTCTGGGTATGCAATCCCTGGGTACTGAAATCCCTGGGTATTTACAGACTTGGGTACTCACAGCCCTGGGTACTCAAATCTCTGAGTACTACCAGAGTAGCAGGCCAGTACTACTACCCATGAGCACTCACAGCGCTGGGTACTCACAGCTCTGGGTATGAAATCCCTGGGTATTTACACCTCTGGGTACTCACAGCTTTGAGTACTGAAATCCCTGGACAATTAATTCATTAATTCCCTGGACACTGGGCCAGATTTTGGGATGGAAGGGGCAGATTTTGGGATGGAAGAGGCAGATTTTGGGGTGGAAAGGCCGGATTTTGGGATGGAAGGACAGGATTTCAGGAATGCTGGGAATGCTGAGGCGTGTCCCCATGTCCCCGTGTCCCCAGCACTTCGCCCTGCTCCTCAAGTACGTCATCCAGGTGGCCATTCCCGACATTCCTGCCTGGGTGGCTGAGGAGATGGCCAAGCTGGAGTACCAGCGCCGCGAGGCCTTCAAGGTGGGTCCTGCCGGGGTGGCGTCCCCAGCCTGTCCCCAACGTGTCCCCAAGGGTCCCCAAAGTGTTCCCAGCATCACTGGGTTCCCCAAGGTGTCCCCATGCCCACTGGCCCTCCTGGGGTGTCCCTAAGCCCAGTGTCCCCTGAATGTGCCCCTCGATGTGTCCCTGATGTCCCCTAGATGTGCCTCCTGTGTGTCCCCATGCCCCGTGTCCCCTCGATGTGTCCCCCATCTCTGTCCCCTCGATGCCCCATGGCTGTGTCCCCTCAATATCCCCTGGTTGTGTCCCCCGGCCACGCCCCACGCCCGGTGTCCCCTCGATGTCCCCGTGGCTATCCCCAGAAGCACGAGCGGCAGGCCCAGCACCACTTCCAGCAGCAGCAGCGCCGCAAGCGCGAGGAAGAGGAGCGGCAGCGCCACGCCGAGCTCCAGGCGCGCCGCGACCGCGACCCCGCCCGCGACGAGGCCACCAAGGCCGAGGCCACCGGGCAGGACCCGGCGCACGACAAGGGCCAGGCCAAGGGGAAAAGCTCCGGCGGCTCCTCCGCGCACGGCCCCGACAAACCCAAGCGGCCGAGCTCGCTGCTGGCCACCAACAACGTGATGAAGCTGAAGCAGATCATCCCCCTGCAGGGCAAATTCCTGTCCGGGGGCACGGGCGCGGCTGGCACCGCCACCGCCAGGTCGCCGCAGTCGCCCACGGGCAGCGAGAACAAACTGCCGGGATTCCTGAGCTTCAGATTCCTCAAATCGCCCGAGACTAAGCGGGACGCGGGCACCGAGAAGGTGCAGTCGCCCACCAAGCCCTTCAACCCCGGCAAGCTCTTTAATTTCGGCAAGTCCGAAGGGCTCGGTGCCAACGGGGGCGCGGCCGGAGCGTCCCCGCAGCCCCGGGCGGGGCCCTCGGCGGACGCGGGGCCCGGGAAGGCACAACTCAACGAGGAAGGGGCGCGGGAGGAAGCGGAGAACCGGGCGGAGGAGGAGGGCGGCGGTGCCCGGCTCTGACCGGGGGCTCCGGGGGGGCAGGAGGAGCCGGGCGGGGGAGGAGAGCGGCGGTGCCCGGTTCTGAGCGGGGATCCGGGAGCACGGGGAGCCAGAGAACCGGGCGGAGGAGGAGGAGGGCGGCGGTGCCCGGTTCTGAGCGGGGCTCCCCCGGTTCCGGCGGTTCCGGGAGCCGCCCGGTCCCTGCTGCGCGCGGCCGTGGCCGTCGGGAGCCTCTCGCCGCCGCTCGCCCGCGGGGCGGGCCCGGGGGCCGCCAGCGCCGCGCTCCGCTCCGCTGCTCTGTGCTGTGTCCCGCCGTGTCCCCCCGGTCCCCCGGGATGTGTCCCCTCGTGTCCCCCCGGTCCCCCGGGCTGTGTCCCCCCGGGCCCCCCCGGCCCCGCCGCGCGGAGCCGCCGCCACCGCCCCGGGAGCCGCGGGGGGACGGCGGGGGAGGCCTGAGAGCGGCGGAACCGCGGGAGCGGCACGGCGCGGGTCATCCCGGTGCGGCCGGAGCATCCCGGAACTTCCCAGGCGCACCGGAGGGAGTTATCCCGGTTTTCCACGGGCAGCGGGAGCAGTTGTCCCGGTTTTTGGAGCATCCCGGTTTTCCATGGGCACCGGTTTCCATGGGCACCGGGAGCAGTTATCCCGGTTTTTGGAGCATCCCAAACTCTCCCACAGTCCCGGTTTCCCCCAGAGACGCCGCGCTCCAGCCTTTGGATCCTCCGGGAGCCGCATCCCGCTCCGGGAATTCCCGGGACGAGCCCGATTCAGCCGTGCCTCAACCCTGCTCCGCCCGCTCCCCCCGCCTGGATCCCGGATCCCAAATCCCGGAGATCCTTCCCAGGAGTTTTCCAGCCGGGAATGGGGCGCGTTTCCCGGGAATGCCGTGCATGGGCAGCGTTTCTTGCACTAAATCCCAACCCCGATCCCGCCGCCGGTGCCGCTTCTCCCAAATCCCAAATCCCAGCGGGACATTCCCGGCTCCAGCTCCGAATTCCCTGGAATTCTGTCGCAATAAGGGGCGGGACAAGGAGGGGACGCGGGGAGGGACAATGGGGGAGGGGGTGGGAGCCGCTTCGCTGCTGCCGCGGGAAGGAATTCCGGGATTCCCTGGATCGGCTTTTCCAGCGGGATCCATGCTGGGAATGCGCTCCCTCCTTTCCCTGCTTCGCTTCGCGGGGCTGGTGGCACTTGGGGACATCCATTCCCAAAGGGAAAAATCGGGGAAAAGAGGGAAAAGCTGGGAAAAGGGAGGGGGGGGTTGTCCCGAGTCCCCTCCTGTTCCTCTTCCCAAAAATCAGGTTGGAATTTTTTGGGGGGGTTTTCCCCCCCCCACCCCTCCTCTTTCGAAGACTCCATGGAGTTTTGAAGAATGCATGGAATTTCAAAGAATCCATGGAATTTTGGGGTTTGGGGTTTTTTTGGGGATCCCAAATCGAAGCCATTTTCCAGAGCAATAAGTGCAGGAAAATCCGGGATTCCCGAGGGAAAGGCTCCGCGTCCCTGCTCCAGGGTAGGAAAATCCCAGTGGAATCAGGGAGGGAAATTTGGGAATGTGGGAATTGGAGAAGGGAAATTTGGGAATTGGGGATGGAGTTTGGGAATTGGGGACAGATTTTGGGATGGGAGATTGAGATTTGGGATGGAGTTTGGGAATTCAGGGCAGAGCTTTGGAAATTGGGGATGGAGATTTGGGAATGTGGATGGAGGAGGATCCCAATCCCCCCACCTGGCCTGGAATATCCCAGAGATCTTGGGGCTGATCCCGGGAAAAGGGAGCCCTGGGAACCTTGGGAATTCCAGGAAACTGAGACCCCAAAGTTCCAGGAGGCTCCGGCTCCTCCTCCTGCCCTCATCCCATGGGATTTTCCCAAAAACCCCGGGAATGGCTTTGATCCCATTTCCCTCTGGAACACAGAATTCCCAGAGGGAAAAGCCCCAGATCCGGGGAATTTTCATCCCTTTCCCAAAAAAAACAACAAAAAAATCTCTGGAATTACGGAGGAGGGGAAAATTTGGGAATGGTTTTTCCTTTGATTTTTTTCCTTGGAGTGGGAATTCCAGGAAAGGAAGGAAGGGGGGGGGTAATTTATTTCTTTTTAATTTATTTTTGTAAAATCCGCAATAAAAAAGAAATTTATTTCGACAGCTCATTTGCATCTCATTTGCATATTTGAATATTCAAATTCGGCTCCAGGATCCGGAGCAGCATTCCCAGCCTCTGGAAAAAGGGGAACCAAATATTCTCAGGAGCCAGGAAAGGAGGGAAAAACCCGATTAAATCCTCAAAATTCCATCAATTTCTTGTTGATACAAATGTGGAATTCTTGGAAAAGAAATTCCCACAGAAGAATACTGGTGAATATACAGGATTTTAGCAGGAATTTTAGGAAAATTCAGGATTTTCCAGCTCTGTGATCCTGGATTTTGGGTGGAAATGGAAGGATTTGAAGGGAAAATCCTGGAGCTGAGCATGACGGAGCTTCCCAGGATTTGGGAATGGCCAAAATTGGGTGGAAAATTCCCAAGAAATTCAGGATTGAGCTCTGGGAATTGCAGGAATTCTGAGAATTCCAAGCCCTGTGGGTGTTTGGGGGCAGAAACTGGGCCAAAAAAAACCAGGAAAATCCTGGGATTTGGGAATTCCAGGTTGGAAGGCACCAGGAAGTGGGAGGAGAGGATTTTCCCAGGAATTTTCCAGAAGACTTCCTGAATGGGATCAAGGGAAGGGGAGGAAGAGGGAATTGCAGGGAAAGCTGGGAATGACCTGGAGGAGAGGGGGAAGGGGGATCCCAAATGCAGGGATGGGAGGAGAACCCCAAATCCAGGGATTTTGGGAATTTGGGATGGGATGAGGACAGGACTCACTGCAGGGATCCCAAAGAAATCCATGGACGAGAATCCCAAATTCAGAGATCCCAAATCCAGGAAGGGGATGAGAACCCCAAATCCAAGGATCCCAAATCCCAACGGGATCTGGACCTTCCAGCCAATCCCAACCTTTTCCCCGGAATTCCCCATCCCTGTTTTTTCCGGGATAAATCCTCGTTCCCGAGGCTCCCACCCCCCTTTTCCTGGGGGAAAAAAAGTGGGAATTCCAGCAGGAAGTGCCAACTCTTTAATGGAACAACATTCCCCAGCCTCGGGAACCCCGGGATCCGCCCTCCTCTCCTGGAAACCCCGGAATTCCTCCCGGAGATTCCTCAAATCCGGCTCCTCCCGCAGTTCTCCAGCTGGAAATCCCAAACCCAACCAAAATCCCGGGAATTCCGCTTGTCCTTCCCCCCCCCCCCTCCCCCCCAACACCGCATTCCAGGAATTCCAAAGTCACTTCCATAAAAAAACCAACCAAACAAAACAAAACAAACAAAAAAAAAATTGGGAAAAACGGAGGCAGAGCCAAAGTTCTGGATTGAATTCCAGTCCCAATTTCCGGGAATTCTGACCGGAGCCGTGTCCTGCTCCTGCTCCTCCCGAGCATCTGGGGGAGTTTTGGCCCTTCCCGGCCCGGAATTCCAAGGGTGGATCTGGGATTTTCTGGGAAAAGGGCAGCAGGAACCCTCCCAGAGCCAGGGAATCGATTCTGGGAATCTCCTGGAAAAATCCCTGCGGGTTTCCCAGCAAGGGGAGGGAGAAGGGCCCCGAATTCCGGGATTCCTGCAGGAGTCAGCTCCTCATGGAAAAGCAGCTGGAATTTTGGGATCATCTCGTCCTTTCCCGAGGTTCTCCATGGATCCTGAGCCTCTGGATGGTCCTGGAAAGGCAGCTGGGAATTGTCTCAATCCCGAGGATTTGGGGAGAGGGGGATGGGCTCTGCATTCCTGGAATTCCATCCTGGATTCTTCCATCTTGGATTCCTGAAATTCCATCCTGGATTCTGGAATTCCAGTCTGGATTCTCAAATTCCATCCTGGATTCTTCCAGCCCAGATCCCAAATCCCATCATGGATTCCCGAATTGCAGGCAGACTTCTCTCAGATCTGGGGCCGCTCCCGGTCCTGGGAATTCTGAGCGATCCCTCGGAGAGGATCCGGTGATTCCCAGGAAAAAATCGGGATTTAAGGATCAAAGCTCCCGGATTTTCCAAAGGGAGGTGGAAAAAATTCCGTGGATCCAGCCCCAAAAAAATCCTGGGATCCAAATTCCCAGGGATTGGCTCCAGCCATGATTGGAGCCCGGGAAGGGGTTGGGAATTTTCTGGAAAAATGGGAAAGGCCTCAAAAATGGGAAAGGTTGGGAATATCCAAAGGATTCCTGGGAATTTCTCAAGGGGGAAGTGAAGGGGAAAAAAATCCTGGAATTTTACATGGAGGGGATGTGGGGAATCCTGGGAAAAGGTGAGTTTTGGGAAGGGAGGAGATCCCAGAAAAAGTGGATTTTTGGGAATGAGGAATTCTGGAGTATCACAGGGAGGAGACCCCAAGAATCCCCCAAAAAAAGTGGAATTTAAAAAAAGAGTTGTTCTGGAATTTCACAAGGAGCAGATCCAAGGAATCCCAGGAAAAAGGGGATTTTGGGAAGGGAATAGATCCCAGGAGAAGTGGATTTTTGGGAATGAGCTCTTCTGGAGACGTCAGGAGCAAATCCCAGGAACCTCAGGAAAAAGGGGAATTTTGGGAATTAGGAATTCTGGGATATCCCAGAAAAAAGGGGAATTTTGGGAATTAGGGCCCCTAAGGACAAACAATCCTCCCTCTCCATAAAAACCCCATAAATACAAACCAAAAACCGGGCACGAGGCAAATCCCAAATAAATAGGGCGGATCCTGGGAATTCCCAGCGGGTCGGGGGAGGGGGGCGTGGGCGGTGAACAAAGCGGGAAGAGCCTTGGGAATTCCCGAATCCCAGGATTTTAAGTGTCCTCGGTCATGTCCTGGCTGCCGGTCCGGGCGATCTTGCGCGGCGGCGCCGAGTTCTCGCCCTCCAGCTCGGCCTGCTCCTGCTCGCGCTTCTTGGCCGCATTCTGCAACGATGCCAGGGGTGCCAGGGGTGCCAGGGAATGCCAGGGGTGCCAGGGGCAATTCCAGGGGTGCCAGGGGTGCCAGGGGTGCCAGGGGCAATTCCAGGGGTGCCAGGGGCAATTCCAGGGGGATTTCGGGGAATTTTAGGGAGTTCCAGGGGGATTTCAGGGGGCTCCAGGGGATGTTAGGGAGTTCCAGGGGCAATTCCAGGGGATTTTAGGGAGTTCCAGGGGCAATTCAGGGGGTTCCAGGGGAATTCCAGGGAGTTCCAGGGGCAGTTCTAGGGCAGGCTCCCAGCACAGGGATCCCTCGTGTTCCCACATGCTGGGATTCCCAAATCCCCGGATTCCCAAACCCCAGCATTTCCAATCCCAGCATTCCCAAACTCCCCACCACAACCTCCCCTCAATCCCAATTTTCCCTCATTCCCGGGGCAGAACCACCCCAGGATTTCCTGCTTGGAATTCCCACGTTCAACCATTCCTACAGGAATGATTCCTGGAATGAACCAATCCCAAATTCCCAGAAAAACTGGGAGTTTTGGGTCCCAAATGTCACCTTTTTGTCCCACTGCTGGTGGAGGTAGCGCAGGAGGATGTTTGTCTTCTCTGTCACAATTACTGGGGAAAATCCAAGGAAAAACAGGGAAAAGATTCCAGGTTTTAGGAGGATTCCAACAGGTAAGGAGGGAAGAAAAATTGGGAATTGTTGGGGGAAAAATTGGGATAAAGAAGTGGAAAATGGGAATAAATAAAAGGGGGAAAATGGGAATAAATAAAGGGGGAATATTGGGAATTAATAAAGGGAAAATTGGGAATAAATGAGGGAGAAATTGGGAATAAATAAGGGTGAAATTTGGGATAAAAGAACGGAAAGTTGGGAATAAGTAAAGGGGAAATTGGGAATAAACAGAGGGAAAACTGGGAGTAAATAAAGGGAAAATTGGGAATAAAGAAAGGGAAAAAGCTGGAAATAAAAAAGGCAGAAATTTGGGATAAATAAGGGGCAAAGTTGGTATAAAAGAGGGGGAGTGTTGGGAATAAATAAAGGAGAAATTTGGACTAAAAGGAGGGAAAATCTGGAATAAAAAAGGGGGAAATTTGGGATAAATAAGGGGCAAAGTTGGTATAAAAGAGGGGGAGTGTTGGGAATAAATAAAGGAGAAATTTGGACTAAAAGGAGGGAAAATCTGGAATAAAAAAGGGGGAAATTTGGGATAAATAAGGGGAAATTTGAGAATAAAGAGAGGGGGAAGTTGGGAATTACTAAAGGAAAAAATGGGAATTAAAAGGGGGGAAATTGGGAATAAAAAGGGGGAGGCTGGGACTGGGATCTCCCCGGTGAGGCCGATAACAAATGGGATTTTCCCGGGAGAACTCACTCTGTTCCGAGGGGAATTCTCTGGTGGGCAAATACACCGAGGGCCGGCGGTTCTGGAACGGGAACGAGAGAGAATCGGGGGTGGGACTGGGAACAGGGGCATTGGGAATGCTGGGACTGGGAATGCTGGGACTGGGAATGCTGGGACTGGGAATGCTGGGACTGGGAACAGGGGCATTGGGAATGCTGGGACTGGGAATGCTGGGATTGGGAATGCTGGGACTGGGAACAGGGGCATTGGGAATGCTGGGATCGGGGAATGCTGGGATTCGGGAATTCCGGGATTTGGGAACGCTGGGATGGGGAATTCCAGGATTGGGGAACTCCAGGATTGGGGAATGCCAGGATTGGGAAATGCCAGGACTGGGGAATGCCAGGACTGGGGAATGCCAGGACTGGGGAACTCCGGGAGCGGGGATGGCCCCGGAGCACTCACGGAGGCCTTGCAGACGGAATCCGCATGGAACCTGCTGAAGTTGCTCTTGTTGTACACTGGGAGACCCTTCAGGAAATCTGCCTGCAGAGCCACAGTTCCCAAAATCCCCTCAGGGAACGGGCAGGGACAGCCCCGGGAGCGCAGGCACACCCCAGAGATCACTGCCCGCCCCAGACTCCAGGCACTGAGGGGAAATTCCCGGGATTTGGGCAGCTCCAAGCTTTCCTTTCCCAGATAAAATTCCCAGCGTGATCCCAAGGCTGGGACCCCTAAGCCCCCCCCATAAAACAAATGGTTCAGTCCCATTTTAGGGGATCCCCTCATCTCAGGGTGTCCCCCGTAACACAAATGGTTCAGTCCCCCTCAGGCTGTCCCCCAGCCACGTTGGGGTGCTCCAACCTCACGCCGAGCCCAAACCCCGCCCTGGGGCTCCCCAAATCCCCCAAACCCCGCCGGGGTCCCCCCAATGTCCCAAACTTCTTCCTAGGACTCCCCTCACCCCAAACCCCGCCCTGGGGCTCCCCCTCACCCCCAAATCCGCCGCACCCCGCCCGGGGCTCCCCTCACGGCCGGCGCGGAGGGAGGAACCCTCTCACACCCCTCAGCCCCGCCACCCCCGCCCAGGCCGCGGCGGCCGCGGGCCCTACAGGCCGGAAGCGGCCGCGGTGCCGCCCCTGCGGTACCGGGAAGGCCGCGGGCGGCGCGGCGGGGCCC